CTTTGCTGATGCTGCCAGCTGCCTCACCACCAAGCTATGCTGGAAAACTGCCCACAGTTAAGAGATTTCTTTCCAACAGACACCGGTCAGAGGATTTGAGCCTTATCTCCCCCTTCCAGAGCAAGCCCTGTTCGTTTCACTTCCAAAAAAACAAACAAACAAACAAACAAAAAACAATCTAAACCACAAACTGAAAAGCAGGTAGGGCCATTCAGGATTTGCCTAGAGTTTGTCTGGGAGCTGATAAAGAAGTTACCTGGGCAACTGAGCAGGGCGCTAGGGGAGAAGCAATGGCATTTCCCCCATGGCTCCCCAAGAAGGCAGCTCCCCCAGACCTCACCCACGAGGATGGGGGAGCTGAGGAGGGAAAAACACCCATGCTCCAGGCCGGTCAGCTGTACTAGAGAGAGCTTCTAAGAGGGAATGCAGGCCTGGTAGTGTGGCTACCTGGGGAGCACTTTCCTGTCATCCCAGCACTTGGGAGGCTGAGACAGGAGGATTGCCACGAGTTCAAGGCCAGCCTGAGCTATATCGTGAGACCCTGTCTCAAACTCCCTCCCTCCAAATAAGGCTCAATGCAAGGGATCTGTATTCAATTACCAGTACTGCAAAATTTAAAAAGACAGACTAAAAAGCAAATGGTTATCCCACTGAAGAACCGAGACTGGGTGCCGTGTTCTTAGGGAGGGAGGCAGGTCTGAGAATGTGATCTGATGGGCCATAGGGCTCAGGCCTTGGCTTGGTCATAGGCCACTACCTCATCAGTAACTGGTATGGGGGCATAGAAGTCACCCGACCAGATCTATGGCCGGACCCAAGAAGCAGGAAAAACAAAAACATCTAGTCTCACACAGACCCCACCATGACAGCACAGAGTCCTGGCACTCGGGCCCATGAGACCTGTGGTCACACACCCTGTGGGCTGGTCCACAGGTTAAAAACGGGGGGAAATGGGCTGGGTGCAAATCCCAGCTCCCTGGGAGGCAGAGGCAGAGGATGGCAAGTTTCTTTATAGCTCTTTATCGACTCCCAGTGGGCAACTGAGTGATTTAGCAACACTGCCCCCCAAATAAACAAAATTTAAAAGGGCCAGGGATGTAGCTCAGTGCAAAGGTGTTGGGCTCAATCCCCAGTCCCGCTGGAGAGCTGTTAGGTCACAGCACTCGCCAAGCACGTGAGGCCCTGGGTTCCATCCCCAGCACTGCAATGACGATGATGATGGTGATGATGCCCAGCTTCAGTGCTAACTAAGGTCCTGGGTTCAAGCCCCAGTACAAAAAGAAGAAAAGAAATAAAAGAAAAGGCTTTATTTCGTCTTATTATTTGTTAGAGCTAAACACAAGAGACTCCTTTTTTTTTTTTTTGGTACTGCGATTGATTTTGGGCCCTTGCACTTGCGAGGCAGGCAGCGGAACCACTGAGCTAAATCCCCGGCCCAAGAGACTCCATCTTGATTCTGACAACTTTCACGGGGTTTAAACAACTTACAAGCCGGGTGTGGTGCACACCCCTTCATCCCAGCACTTGGGAGGCTGAGGTAGGAGGACTGCTGCAAGTTTCGGGCTACTGGGGTTGCAGAGTGGGTGAACAGCCTGAACTACGTAGCAAGACCTTGTCTCCAAACACGAAACAAAACAAAATAAAAAAGAAGAGAGCCAAGTGCAGTGGCACAGGCCTGAAATCCCAGCAGTTTGGGAGGCTGAGGCAGGAGGATCGCAAGTTGGAACCTAACCTGGGCAACTTAGTGACTTAATGAGACCCTGTCTCAAAACAAAACATAAAAAAGGGAGCTGGGAATATAGCTCAGTGCTAAGGTCCTGTGTTCAGTCCCCAGTTTAAAAAAAGACAGAAACAGGTGGGCCTGCTAGTGCAGGCTGTGCACTCCCCACAGGGCACTCATTCTCCAGCAATACCAACCCCCTCTGGCCCTGCCGTGGCTGCCCAGGGACCCAAGCCCACTAGGGTGGTATCCGTGATTCTGTTCCAGGCAACCCCACCCACAGCCTCGAGTCAGGTCCTCCCAGTGCCACCCTGCCTGGCTCACTCCAGAAGCAGCGGCTGCTCCTGCCCACTCCTGACTCCTACCTTAGCACTGCACACCCCGCTGCTCACACCACGGGCGGCCGAGAGTGGCCAGGGCCCAGAGCTGGGGACACTGAAGATACCAGGCAACCACAGAGTGGGACAGAGCAAGGAAAGACAGCCAGAAGTTGCATTTTCAGTGGCTGGAAAAGGTCCTGAGCCCAGAGCGGGCAGCAACAGAGCTGGAGGCCATGGGGATCCAAGCCCAGGGCCTTCAACACCAAAACGCTGCACTTTGCCAATGTGATTTCTGTACCAGTTGAGCAAGAACCCCCTGTGCACTGGTTCTGGGACCTAACCCTCTGCTGGGCCCTGAAGAAGAGGGTGGCAGTGGTGACCGTCAGCTGGGTCAGGAAGCAGCCCTTGTCCTATAACCATGCCAGGTGTGGCCAAGAATCCAAGCTAGCCAGTGCCAATCCCAGCTGCTGGGGAGGCCGAGGCAGGAAGAGGGCACGTTTGAGTCCAATTTGAACAACTTAGCAAGTCTCTGCCTTTAAATAAAAAAATGAAAAAGGCCTGGGGGTGGGACAATGTGCAGCCCTGGGTTTAATCCCATGCCACAAAAAAATAAAAAGAAAGAAAACAACAAGCGATAACAAGGCTGTGAAGAAATTTAAATCTTTCTGAGTCACATGTGGGAATGTAAAATGGTGCAGGTGCTGTGGAAAACAGGCTGGCGATTGCTGGAGGTCAGGCAGTGCTGCCATGTGACTAGTAGGTTTGCTCGTAGGTATAGAGAGATCGAGGAGAATTGAAAACATCTATATAAAACTTGGCATGGACTGGGCCAGGGAATTAGTGCACTGGTGCCACACCTGCCTCTCAAGCGAATGGTCCTGAGTTTGATCCCCACAGGGGAAAAACAAAAGCAAACAAAACTGGTATGTGATGTTCTTAGCAGCAGCATTATTCATTATCCACAATAGCCAGAGAGTGGAAACAGCCCAAGTACCTATTAGCTGATGAATGGATAAGCAAAATGCAGGAAAATACAATGGAATATTACTTGGCCATCAAAAGGGACAAAGTCTGGGCCGGGGATTTAGTTCAGTGGTTCCACTGCCTGCCTTGCAAGTGCAAGGACCTGAGTTCGATCCCTGGTACAAAAAAAAAACAGAACTAAGTTTTAAGGCATAGGTTGGTGTGGATGAAAATTGCAAACTCTAGGCTATGTGAAAAAAGCCAGGCACAAACCTGCCCATATTGGGATTCTACCTCAGCCTTTCAGTGCTGAGATTACAGGTGTGCACCACTACGTCCAGCTCTGGGCACAGGATTTCTCTTGTGGATGATGAAAATGTTCTAAAGTCTGGCATAGAGATGCATACTTGTGATCCTAGCACTCTGAGAAGCTACGATCATAAGTCAACTCCAGCCCAAGCAACTTTGCAACTTATTAAAACCCTGTCTTGAATCAGGGATTTAGCTCAGTGTTTCTACCGCCTGCCTTGCAAGTACAAGGACCTGAGTTCGATCTCCAGTACAAAAAATAAAAAAGTAGCAAAAGCCCTGGGTTCAATCCCCAGTACTGCAAATTTAATTTAAATGGTAAATTTCAGGGTTTGTGAATTATGTTTTTGAAAAACTGACTGAAAGCCAGGCGTGGTAGTGTACTCCTGTAATTCCAGCACATAGGAGGCTGAGGCAGGAGAATCACCATGAATTCAAGGCCAGCCTGGGCTACATAGCAAGACCCTGTCTCAAAAAACCAAAAATAAATAAACAAATAAATCTGACTGAAGACGCTCTGCACGGACAGGAAATACCTGGAATGCATTGAAAGTGTGTGTGCGACTTCAAGAGATGTCGGTATCCATAGTCACAGCAGCATTAACCCTAGAAGTCAAAGGCGGAAGTCATCCAAACATCGAAGGACTGCGACTGGCTAAACAAAGTGTGGTCCTTGGGCTGGGGATTTAGCTCAGTGGCTTGTGCCTTCCTCACAAGCACAAGGTCTTGAGTTCCATCCCCGGTACCGGGGAGGGGGGATGTGGTTCAGACACAGTGGAGTATCATGCAACCCTAAAAAGGGATCCTGATGTATGCTACATGGTGCATCTTGGAAGGCTTGCACTATATGAATATACCGGTCACAAAGACAAACACTGTGGAAGCCCACTTCCTTTGGTGGCATTGGAGACTGCCCTCAGAGCTCTGCTGAGTCCCCGGCCTTGCCCCGTTGCCCTGTCCTGGGGTGGCCCTGGACTCTACCCTCTGTCCCTCTTCCCTCTGTGCTGGTCTTTCCCAAGGGCCCAGGCCAGGTCAAGTTTCCGGCTGCAGGAGAAGCTTGTGCCACCACCGCCAAGGGTTCCTCTCACGGGGGTCCCCAGAGCAGAGTCACAGAGATGGAGGCAGAGGGTGGAGACCAGGGTGGGGATGAAGGGGAAAGAGGGTCAAACGCGGTTAAGATGGGCCAGGCGTGCTGGGGCACAGCTGAATTCCAGCACTGTGGGAGGCGGAGGCAGGAGGATGGCAAGTTTGAGCTCACCTTGGCCATCTTAAGGTTAAGATGGTGACAGATGAGAGTGACAGGCAGATGTGTGTATTCCTGACACTCCCAAGTGTACCTGCCCTGGGGATGGCTGACTTGGCCCTGCCTACCCTCAGCTGGCCACTGCTATCCCACCTGGCCACACGTATCCCTCAAGCAGTGACAGCCACACCAGTAGCCTTGGGCCCCTGCCAGCTCTGTCCTGATCCACAGCCTCTCCCTCCCTGGTGTCCCCAGCCTGGCAGGCTAACTCCCTCATCACCTGATGCCCCGTGTAGGTGCCAGGCCTCCATCCAGGTGTCTGTTTGGCCCTGGCCCCCAAACTTGGTGTCTGACCCCACCATGGAAGTGAACGAAGCCACCTGTCCTGGACAGAGAAGGGACATCCAGTGGGCTGTGTCACCAAGGAAGGACCATAGTCACCAGCTTTCTAAATCAATGCATTTTATTTCAAACTCCCCACATGCCACAAGTTCACAGGAAATCGCCTGTCCAGGCTGAAGAGCAAACACCATGCTCAGGACTGGGAGTCATCGTGAGATGCCTCGGGTGGGCCAGGATGGGACAGTCGGTCACCGAAAGGCAGGCGATGGTCATTTAGCACCTCGTCACTTGGTAGGAAGACCCCTGGGCCAGGGAAAGGCCACTGAGCTCCAATCAGGGCAAAGCCACACACAAAGGTTCCGGTCAGAGGGGCAGCACTGGGGCTGAGGAAGACTGCTGCTGGGTGCAGGTCGGCCACATGTGCATTGCGCAGCACACTCCTTCCTGCCCTGAAAGCCCAGAACACCCTTGCACACCCCTACCTGGACACACATTCCCTACATGCCTGGCTCTGTCCACTTCACTTGCACAGGGGTCTCAGGCTGTTGCCCTCAGCCCCCCAGGTCTCAGGTAGATCCTGCGAGGGACACAGCCAGGCAGCGACCTGTGCCTTTAATGCAAGACAGAGTGCCTGACCCCATGGTGCTCACACAAGGCTGCCTGAAAAAGTCAAGGGTGTTGGTCGCCTGTGTGGGAGCCACAGCTGGGAGCACTGTTCACTGGGCCCAGAAACTTCCTTTGGGATCCCGAGCCCCAAATGCACAACAGGAGACGAGTCACAGTGAGCCCCAGGGAAGCAGGGAGTGAGATGCTTCTCACTCAGGTCTCCTGGCTGAAAGCCAGCACTGCCATCCTGCTGCCCACAAGCTTCTGATTCCCCTCACATGAGCCCTACAACTTCCAGAGCTGAGAAGGGTTATCACTGGGGCAGCCCCACTCAGAGGGGACACTAGGGTGTCTGCTATCCTTCCTCCGGCAAAACATCCTGCACGGGACCCTGGCTGGGGTGGCAGTCTTGGCCTCTTGCAGCCCATGGCTCCCATAGCCCTGCTGCTGGGGCTCAGGCCTGCCCCACACCCAGCCATGCCTGGCGCCTGGTCAGGGAGCAGCCGAGAGCTGGTGCTGCTGAGGGGATGGGCACCCAGCAGGGCTCAGCGCCTGAAGAGTCCAGGCCATCCTGGCTGCAGGCCCCTCAGTCCTAACTGTACGTGACAGTGTGAGAATGAGGACAGCCACCCACACCGAAAGGGGGACCTGGGGCCCAGAAATGTACCTTTCCTCAGACTCAAATGCCTTCATGTCAGAAGCCCAGGGGCTGAGTGAAGCTTGTGCAGGGGGATACAGGGATCAGGACACAGGGCCTTGAGGTCTTAGGATCCAGGATGCCAGGACAATGCACCTGCCATGGCTCCAGAGGAGACAAGAGCAGCAGGCCGGGGACAAGGGGTGGTCAGGGTAGAGGTGGTTGGACATGGGAGACCAGGGACTTTCTCTTTATAAAAATAAAAGATGGCCAGGGATTTAGCTCAGGGGCGCCCCACCTATCTTGCAAACACAAGGTCCTGAGTTCGATCCCAGGTACTGAGAAGAAAAAAACAAAAACAAAAAACAAACGATGAACGTGCTGATCGCCTCCCTCTTTCCGCTCCGTCTCTCACACACAAGTACATTCAGCAGATGCAGACGTAATGTGCTGCAGGCGGGCACACACAGGCATTTTGCACAAACATGCAGGTGCAGATGCAAGCGCACACATGCCACGTTCACACAGGCACACGATGACACATCCCCGCACACCACACGCACATGCGGGCTGCAGCACGCTGACCGCGCTCCTTCCAGCCGGCAGCATATGGTCCGCCACTTAAGAGCCCAGTCCTGCCAATTGGGGACCATTAGGGTAAGGTTCTTTTCCCAGTGTAAAATGCTGCAGAATATAAATTGCAATTAACACCAGTGCCAAAATAGCACTTAGCGAAAATAAGCACATTATTAACATCTGGTGAATTGTGTCTCGGGTGTAGAAGGAGTGGAAATCCTCACTCCAAGTCAAAGGACTGTGGCAGGGGACAGTAAAACACAAGGCCCGTCGTTTGGGGGCCCCTACCAAGGTGTCTGCGCTCCCAGCCTCTCTTACGGCTCCCTCCCCCAGCCCTGTTTATGAGCATCAATTACACTGCTGGGGAAACGCTTGCTCATGACAACAAACCTGTTAGCCAGATCATAAAACCAGTTTCAGCCTTTGGAGTAAATTCATAGTGGAAATACAATTCCCCACCAAGCGGGAGTTGCTGGGAAGGGAAGGAGAGGGTACAAAGCCAGGGCACCCAGAGCTTCATGGGCTCCCTCCTGGGCCACACCCCCACCTGTCAGCCCCTCACTCCGGGGACAAGTGGCTGGCCCCAAAGACCCCCAGAACCTGCCCTGACCACTCTGATTGCATGGTGGCCAATTTGGGTGCCAATAGGATGCACTGAAGGAACAGGGCCTCCTGCACAGCTACATGGGATGCTGGCCACCTCTGGGCAGTCTGTCCTGGCCTGCACAGTGGGGAGGATCCGTCCCATCACATACCCAGGGATTATTAGCCCATAGCAGGTCCCTCTGCTGGCTGCAGCCTGGGAACCCCCTCCAGAGGGCAGGGCTGAGGGAAGGACAGGGAGGGTTCAGGGTCTTGGCAGCAGAGGGCCATGTTCCCCTGCTTTGTCCCCAGGCACATCTGAAAGTCCCCGACTCTCTGGGTCCCAAGGAGCAGCACTGATGGGCGCCACTTGCCCTAAGCGCCCAGTACAGAGCAGATACTGACACTAGCAAGGGACGCGCCAGGACACCACACAGACTGGGGTGACCCATTACCATGGAAACAGGAGGACAAGGGCAGTGGGCAAGGCCTGGTGGGCTCTGCACTTCAGACCCAAGGGTGGTGGGGAGGTGCCTAGCCTGCCAATGACCACAGCCTGTGAGGACCCATGACCGAGAGGCGCGCCTGGGCAGGAGTCCAGGAGGATAGGACTCAGCCACAGCCCCCTCAGAGGTACGAGGCAGGGACAGCCAGGGGCATACGATGAACCTTGGACACAAGAAGGTCCCTCCTCAACTCTGAAGCAGCTTTGCTGAGTTTTTTCTAAATCCTAAATAAAGTTGCCTGACATGATGGCCTCATCACTCCGAGGTTTAAAACCCACTCTGGGTTTAATGTTTCCAGTTATTCTAATAGAGCCAAGCTGTGTCTATGTCCTCAGAAGCACACAGTGACTTTCGCCGGGAGTTGGGTTTCTGAAGCCAAACAAATGCCACAGATCAGACTGTGCACGGTCCAGCTGAAGAGCCCCGCCCAGTGGTTCCTGCCCCAGTGTTCCACAGGCCACAGACACCATGCAGCCGGAAGCATCTCAGAGATGGAACTGGGTTAAAATGTGTCTTTTTCTGGGTGGTGTGGGGCTCGATCCACACACCTCATACCTGCTGGCAAGGGCTTGGCCACCGAGCCACACCCAGCCCTAAGATGAGTCTCAGTGGGAAAGGGTGCCCATGACTGCAGGTGCAAAACTTGCAGACATCAACGCGGATGTCTCAGCACAGAGCGCCCAGCCCACACCAGTGACTACACCTCAGCCCCGGGGGATACGGCTGGGGCCAGCCCCATGTGGATGCCTACCCAGCCCTCCCTGTCAGTGCGAACCTTCACCCTGATGACAAGTCCCTGGAAGGAAGTGAGTGGAGCCAGGGAGCCATAGTGGGGGCTGCAGGGTGGCAGAGAGCTGTTTCCTTTCTCTGTGGCAAGTGAAGGGGTCCCGGGTCCACAGGCTCTTTGTGGCTGCACGGCAGTGAGCAGCAGCAGAAGGTGGTCCTCTCACCACCAAAGGTTTGGGGGCTCTTCGGCCACTCTACTTTTAAACAAGGTGATCTCGTCCAGGTGTACCATGGGGACATCCCGGATGACATCCGTCAGGTCCTCGTGCAGCAGGGGGAAGATGACGACGTTCAGGGCAGGCCTCTCAGCCTGGAAACTGGAGCAGAGAGCCACAGTCAGTGGGGCGTGGTGCAGCCACACAGGGAGCAGAGGCCACTCTGGGGACATGGGGCACCATGCCCGCCTCCCCACCAGAGCCCAGCCCGCCCGCGAGTCACTCTGACACATGGTGGATGAAGAAATGAATCTCAAGGGGCCTTCGTGTGGCAGCCAGAGCTGGGGGAGGGGCCGTCATCCTTCTGTCTGGGCAGAAAGCGGGGCCAGCCCTGCTCTGCAGAGCCAAAGGGCCAGCAGAAGGGGCCCAGCATCCCAGGGATAGGGGCTCTTTGCCGGGTGAGCTGAGATTCCACGCCCCAGGGCACCTAGGAGCGGGGATGACGCCAGGAGAAGCCAAGACACAGACACTGAGACCAGCAGAGAATTAAGGCAGCAGAAGGCCTGCACCAAGTGGGCACTGTGCACTCACTCGGTGGGCATGGGAGAAGAGGCAGCAGTGGATCAGAGAGATACGGGGTGACCCGAGAGGGCGGGCAACACCCGAGGTCAATGCGGCGGAGGAGCAGGGAGGGGTAAGTAGGAAAGCTGCCTTCCCCTCACCCTTCAGGAAGGCCTGAAACTCCTGGGCCAGCAGGGGTCATGCTCACCAGGGCACTTCCCTAGATCTATGCGGGGCTACCACAGGGGCCCAAGACAAGACCATGCTGAAGAAAGCACGTCTGAAACCTAGAAGGTTGTGTGCTGCAAGAAAGCAGGAAAGCCCAGCTGTGGGGTGCGTGCCTGTCATCCCAGCACGTGGGAGGCTGAGGCAGGAGGATTGCAAGTTTGAGCCCAGCCTGGGAACTTAGCGACTTGGCAATACCCTGTCTCAAAATTAAAAATATAAAAGGGCTGACAATGAGGCTATAAAGGCTCTGGGTTCAATCCCAAATACCACCAAACAAACAAAAATTCAGGAAGGGGACCAGGGGTTTCAGTCTCAAATATGGAAAAGCAGTCAACACATGGATCATGAAGACGGAGAACAAATGTGACTTGAGACACAGTGTGTGGTGCTGGACACACACGATCCGTCCCCCTCGACAGCCATCCCAGGACAATGCAAACTGGCCTTGTAACCGGGACACTGAGGCAACTTGAACCCGTTGCTTTCCACTTCCTGAGTGGTGGGGCTGAAGACCAAAGCCAGAGACCAGTAGGGTCTGCACCTCAGCAACATCAACACCAAATCCGCAAGGGACAAGAAGGGACTCCTAAGTGTGGGGATGGCAGGAAGGTGTGACTTGGGAAAGGGTAGCAATCCCACTAGTGGCAGAACAGCGGGGCCATCACGCTGGGGGCTGAGTCTGAGAAAGCAGAAAGTGCGCAAGCCCGTGCAGGTGAGGGCCAGGTGAGCAGCAGGTGAGCGGAGGCGCCCCATGTGTCCTCCAGGCAGCAAAAGGGCGGGGAAAAGCAAAGCTCCAGAAAAAGCAACCCCAAACCCCAGAGTCACATGGAGGGAGGCATCGAGAAGGGGCGCTGGGCACTGCATGCGGAGCACCATAGCACCATCTACTGGGACCCTGCAGAGAGGCTGCTGGCGCAGCGTAGCTGGGGGGGCCCTGGATACCACCATGGGGGGCCAGTGTGGGCCAGTGTGAGCAAAGCTGGTGCAGCCAGCTGCATGGCCAGGACCCAGGGCGATAGCAGAATGATCATGGCAGAGAAGTGACCTCTCCCACCCCCAGGGGCTGCACCCCGGCTGCTGTGGCTAGAGAAGAAATGCCTGGGGCAGAGCAGTGACCCTCTTTTCTCTTGTTTGCTTGTCTGCTTTCTGAGGAGCTGGGGGTGGAACCCAGGGCCTAACACAGGCCAGGCCAGACATTCACCTCAGAGCTGCATCCCCGGGGTACCCTCTTCCTTCTGATGTGAAGCTGTCCTCAGGGTGGCCCTTGGCCTCATCAGGCCCTGTGCCCTGCTGAGCCTCAGTTTCCCCATGGTAATGGCTGAAGACTCTCCTCTCAGGGCTCTGGAAGGTCTAGATGACCAAGAACAGCACAGTGCCAGCTGAAGCTCTGCGCAGCCCACACTGGTCATGCCCTGGAGGAGCACAGAGGGTCACCCCAGGAATGCAGACAGCTCTGCCCCAATCCTGGATCCCTCTCGGGGAGCAGCAGGTCACGTATTTTCAGGCAGTGGGACAGGTGTGGGACAGGGACAGACACACAGGGCAGAGGGACCCCAGGGCCAGCTCAGCTTCCCTGGGAGTTCACCTGGCTCCACCTGACTTGGGTTTGAGAATCATGGCCTCCTGTATCGACCGTGACCAGTACCGACTGGGCTGCCAGCGAGTCCAGCAGGACACAAGGCTCAAGAAAAGAACTGCTGCTGAGTGCCAGCTTCAAAGAGCCAGCTACCTGGCGGGGGAGCTTGACTCTTAGGGGACATACTGCATTCCCCTCCCCAAGCAGGCCAGCAGTTGCGTGCTCTGAGAAGCCTGAGTGGGCCATGTCTGAGGCAGCTGGCCAGTGCCGAGTCCGATCGGCCTAGTGGAGGAGGACGGAGAATCAGAAGGAGAGGGCAGCCTCCCTGCTGGGACATTCCAACCCTTGCAACCGCATTAGCTGTCCTTGTCACATCACAGTTCCAACCTACCCAGTGAGCAAGGACATTCTCCACTTTGGCAAGAAAAGCAGCAGCTCCATGGAGGCCCAAGTCCGCAGGGTTGAGCACGTCCAGGGGCTGCTCAGAGCCAGGACTCTGGCCAGGGCAAAGCCCCCTCAGCAGAACACACCCGGGGATGGGTTGGCGTTTGGCTGCAGAGCAGTGGATGGGGCACCCTCACTCTCCCAGCAGCCAAGGCCAGAGCCAGCAGCTCTGGCCACATGAGAACCCAGCCTCTGCCCCTTGGTCCAGCCAGAGGGACCAAAAGCCAACAGGTCAGCTGCCCCACTGCGGGGACCTCACAGCCAAGCCAGTGAAGTGCCACAGAGCCTTGAAGTACCCCTCAGCAGGTGTGGGCTACTCCTGCCAACACCAGCACACTGGGTGGGAGGGGCTAAACTGGGTCACCCCCCTCCACTGTCTGGGACCCCAGTTCCAGAGCAGGACAATCAAGAGCTAAAATACAGGAAGGTCAGTGACAGTAACAGTTATCACTGATAGCCACAAACAACCAGCCATGACACCCTGAAACTAGCACCCAGCAGACATAAAACAGTAACTGCAGAGCCAGGCATGCTGGTGTGTGCCTGTAGTCCCAGCTATTTAGAAAGCTGAAGCAGGATGATCCCTTAAGCCTGGGGGTTTCTGGGCCCACTTGGGTCACAAGCTGAGGACGGATCTCAGGGGTAGAGCCTTGCCTAGCATGTGCAAGGCCCTGGGTTCCATCAAGAAAGAAAAGGACAGTGTAACTTTAAGCAGAGAAAATGGGAAGGCACCACCTTAACCAGGGCATCAAGATGCACAGATGCACACTTGCCCGAGACAGGACACCACATCACAAATGGTCCTGACGCCACACTGAGAAGCCCACAAGTCTCCTGCAGTTTATCTGCCAAAAACACAGAGTCACAATCACAGGAAAACCCCAGACAGCTGGGCATGGTGGCACACGCCTGTAATCCCAGTACCCAGGAGGCTGAGGCAGGAGGATCGCTACAAGTTTAAGGCCAGCCTGGACTACACAGTGAGTTCAATGCCAGCCTATACTACACAGCCAGACAATGTCTCAAAATACCGCCCCTGCAAAGAAAGAAAACCCCAAACCACCTCAGACTGAGGGGTGCACTGCCAAGCAACTGACCAGGACCTCAGCATCAAAGATTGTGAAAGACTAGGAGATCCTAAGTCGCGGCCAGGGTTGGGGCAGGCAGAGACAAAGCACCAGCACCCAATGGGCTCGGACTAGCCCTGCAGGTGATCTTGAAACACAGCGTGGATGTTATAGAAACTGACCAAGTTCTAAGGTCACTCCCTTGGCCACCACACTGTTAATATCTTTTGTTTTACTTGTTTTGCAGAACTGGGGCTTGAACTCAGAGACTTCACATGAGATATCCCCACCCTCTTTTGAGACAAGCTCTTGCTAAATTGCCCAGGCTTGGCTCAAACTTGCAATCCTCCTGCCTCAGCCTCCCAGACACAGAGATAGGCTATGGTGCTTGGATTAAGATCTGGTTACCCCCCACACACACACCCCATGTCTGTTTTTGTTTGTTTTTTTGGTACATGACATAGAATTTAGGACCTTACACTTGCAAGGCAGGCGCAGTACCACTAAGCTAAATCTCAGGCCCATGTCTGTTTTGTTTTGTTTTTTTTAAACTGGGGATCAAACTCGGGTCCTTGCACTTGCAAGGCAGGAGGCGGATGCACTGAGCCAAATCTCCGGCCCTATGTCTGTTTTAATCACTATGCCCTGGGTAACCAGAGGGCCATGTTAAAGTTAATGGTATCTGGTAACTGTAATGTATTTACTTTTCCAACTTTTCTAAAATTAGTTTAAAATAAGAAGTTGGAGGGAGAACTCAGGGGTATGTATTTTATATACCAGGGAAACATTTATAGCATAATGTGGGCAAATGCATAGCTCTGGTGGCTGGCAGTGGGTGTTGGCATCTAGGAAACAGCCAGCCAGGATAAGAGGGGGGTGGGACAGCAGGAGCCAAACCTCTGCTTCCCAAAATCCCGGTCACTGCTGGGCAGGCCAGTGCCCCCACCGTGGGCCATGCCCACCACTCACCTGAGGAGGGACTGCTGCAGGCTCTTGCAGGTGACAAGTGACTCGCCAGTGAACATGTGGCACACAATGACGTGCAGGCAGCGGGCCATGAAGGCCAGCACAGCGTCGGGTTGCAGGGTGCCGCTGCGGGAGACCAGGCACAGGCGCTGCAGCGAGGTGCACTGGCTCAGCGCCTGGAAGAACTGGGCGTTGGCGTTGAAGTAGGGCTGCTCCAGCCTGCAGGCAGAGGGGCATGTGAGTCTCCACCCTCACCTCCTCACCACCCTGGGGAGACCCGGATTGGGGGTCCTGATGCCAATGGCACACTGAGTCCCCTGGGGCTGCTCAATACCTCCCTGCTGCTAGGAAGAAGCAGACAGGAACCCACCCACGGCCCTGCCCTGGGAACTTGGTTCTTAGGGAGGCAGAAGGAACAGAGCAGGAGAAGATGAGCAGGGGCCTGGGCTGGGCGGGGCCATTCCAGCCAAGACAGGGTGGACAGCACTGGACTGGGCTCCAGAGGGACAGAGGACCCTGCCCAGCCCACACCTACTTTCAGAAAGATGGGGTGGGGGCCCTTGACAGGGCAGGGCCAGCATAGTGCAGAAAGGAGACAGGAGCCAGCACCATGGCCAGGGTCTCCCTAAATTACCCAGGCTGGGCTCCAACTTGCCGTCCTCCTGCCTCAGCCTCCCAGAGCACAGGATGACAGGTGTGTGTCACTCTGCTCAGCTGCAGTTTCACGTTTTAAAAGCCATGGTCACGGTCACAGGACACACTGTTTCCCTGGCCAGAGCAGTGTCAAGGCTAACGGCAGAGGGGAGGTCTTACTAACAGGGAGGGACATCTGTCTAAAGCAGGCAGCGGGCAGAGCGGTTGGGAAGGCAGGTGTAGGGGTGCTGCAAGCTCATGGAGACAGGAAAGTATCCGTGCGCTTCTGCAAACAAGGGACAGAGCCCCATGCCACACCAGCCCACCCAGGTGGTCAGGGAGGAAATGCAAAAAGACAAACTTTGCTGGGGAAGTGGCTTCCCCTTGCTAAACAGCCTTCACTCCTAACCTGTAGTCACCTGTGGGCAACTAGGAATGGGACACATGACAAGAGCACTGGACGGGAGTGGCCGTCACCACCGCCAGACTCTATGCATGGCACAGTTGAGGGTGGTCCCCCACAAAAACTACCTGGCTGTTTTGGACCAGCCCATGGGGCACATAAGCCCTGGGCTGCCAGCTTTGTCCAGGAGGGTACCTGCAAGGCATACAAACGGGACCACGATGGTGACTTCACAGGACATCTTGAGGAGAGGCGCTTCCAGGACGAACGAGAGGTCACACCTTCATGTGGCAGCAGGGCCCTCAGCCTGTGCTATGAGTCGCAATGAACAGCGACACTGAATGAGGCCAAGCCAAATGGAAAAGGTGAGCATCCTGTCCCTCAGGACACAAAGCCAGATGGCCCGGGGCCACAGGCTCCAGCCCCAGCAGCTCTGCCACGCAAGAAATATCAATGGGCATATAACTCAGGTCACAGAGAACAAGGTCTGCAAAAACAGGCCAGACACTGGCCGAGGGTGTGGCTGGTGGCAGAGCCCTCTGCTGGCTGGGACACTGCTTGGGCTGCAGCCTGTGTAGCCACTAGACAGCAGGATACAGTGACTGAGATGGTTTCATCTTATTTTACCCTCATTTGCAGTCCCAGTGGCTTTGCACTGAGCTACATCCCCAGATCCTTTATATTTTTTTCACTTTGAGAAAGGGTCTAGGTTGCTTAGGCTGGGCACACCTGCGATCCTTCTGCCTCAGCCTCCCAGAATGCTGGGATTATAGGTGTGCCGCCATGCCCAGCCAGAGGCTGGTTTTTATTTTATTTTAGCTGATGATGCAGAGCTCCCTCAGACTCCTAGATATAGGGGACGTGCAGGTTCTCTCAGGGAAAGAGATGAAGCTGCAGCACCCACTGCTCACTTCTGAATGCACAGAGTACCAGCCTCACCTCACAGGTACATGTGACAAATGTCAGCCTTAGAAACACAGGAGGAATCGTGACAATGAGGAACAGGGCAGATGCCTCTCCAGATTGTGAAGATAACTATGTGCTCTGTCCCCTCTCCAAGGACATGAGAGCCCCCTCATCAGCAGAGCCTGGGCAGCTAAGAAGTAGCACTTCACCTCTAGATCACAATTGGGGGGATCTGGTTTTGTTGAGACAGGGTCCCATCATGTAGTGCAGAGTGGCTCCAAACTAGAGATCCTCCTGCCTCAGCCACGGGACTTTATTTTATATATGCAGGTGATTGAACCAGGGGCCTTTGCACACAGGGTTTCACTAAATCAGTGAATTGCTGAAGCTGAGTTTAAATATGCCATCCACTGGGTGTGGTGGCACATGCTTGTAATTTCAGCACTCCTGAGGCTGAGGCAGGAGAATCACCATAAGTTTGAGGCAAGTCTTGTCTACACAGTGAGTTCAAGGCCAGCCTGAACTACATAGTGAGACCCAGCCTCAAAAAGAAAAAGCCATCAGGCCGGGGATTTAGCTAGGTGGTTCCACTGCCTGCCTCACAAGCCCAAGGACCTGAGTTCAATCCCCAGTATCCCCCCCACAAAAAGCCATCCTTCTGCTTCAGCCTCCCAGAGTGCAGCCTCCGAGGTGTGCACCACTATGCCAGCTTTGATTTCAATTTTGTCTTGAATTTTTTTTGGGGGGGGGTACTGGAGATCGAACTCAGGTCCCTGCACTTGCAAGGCAGGCGGTGGAACCACCAAGCCAAATCCCTGGCCCTTGATTTCAGTTTTGAACTGATTTTAAAATGTTTAAACACACAATTTGGTTATTTGTGTATGTTTTGTTTTGTTGACGTCCTAGGGCCTGGAATGTTTTGGCTCCGCAGACCTGCATGCCAGGACCGGCGGAGGGCACACACAGCCCTGGCAGCGCAGGGTGGCTGGCAGCAGCAGTCAGTTGGTCACCGTTCTCCCCTCCAACAATGCAGGCAGGAAATGAGGCACCAGGCCGCACTTGCGGCCTCCGTCACTAGGTGGCGATGTGGGGCTGCACTAATGGCCCCAGATCACCTAGGCCAACTGGGTCCCAAGGCCCAGTGCACTCATTTAAACCCTTCCGGCCTTAACAGCACCCAGCCTCCTTTCCTGAAGGATGACCCCCATCAGTGTTTGGGAAGAAGCCTAGTGGAAGTATCCCGTTCCTCTCTTCTCCCCTGGCTGGCCTTCCTGTGCAGCGGGCAGGACTGCCACCAGCACAGCCGGGAGAAGGGACCCAAGGTGGTGTCCACTGTCTGCAGGAAAAGGAATCTGCCCTGGCCAGCCAGAACCTGAGGGTCCTTAGCCCTGCTCCTTCCCAGCCAGGACCCAGCTCCAAATCCTGACCCCTGGAGTGACTTGGGTGCTTGGATCCTGGCAGAGCAGCGGCAAGGCCGCGGCCCCCACACATGCGCTTCTGGGGTGGTGCCAGGCCTGGCTCCAAAGTCAGGCAGCCGAGGTGACTCAGGATGTGGCTGGCTCTCTCCCTCCGGAAAAGGCAGGGTGGGATCAGGTAGCTGTGGAGAATGCCCTTTTCTGCCCAGAGGTGTGCCCCAAGTCCACAGCTGGTACAATCTGTTTCTGCAGCGCCTCACCCACCAGGGGCCCAGACGGGCAGCTGGGTTCATGATGCTGGGGACAGGTGGTCAGAGCACGGAGGTCGGCCGGGGATCCCATGGGCACCATCTCAGGCACATTTCTTTGGAAGGCAGAACATGGTCCCTCTGGGGGGCTCCGGACACAGGAGCCAGAGGAAAGGGGCCCTCTGTGTCTACACAGGCAGCAGCCAGCTCGGAACATGCACAGCTGGGGCTCTATATACAGCAGTGCCATTCAAGTCTCGGTCAGGTCCACCCCCGCCCCACAGGCTTCCCACACTGCCTGCTCAGCCACAGGGACCACGCCCCAGACCCCAGAGACCCTCTGTGACCACCAAATGTGGTCACTCTGCCACTCAACATCCAGCTGCCTTGTGGGCCAGCTATGGGGCCCAGCAGGGCCATTATCTCTCTCCGAGAGTCTACACTCACAGGCTGCTTCGGCTCAATCCCCATCGGCAGGCACATGACAAGCACCTGGCAGCTGTCCCGTGGGCAGAGGTCTGGTACCATCAGCCACACTCCTGCCTGAGGGCCACCCCCTCCATGTGACAGCAGCTGCTCAGTGTCCTCCACTGCTGCTGCTTTGGTCTCTACCCATCCAGTTCCTGGCCCTTGGCTGCCTGCCACACCCCAGGCCATTAGGGACCCAGCTCTGGAAGCCCTGTGAATTTGCTGTGAACTTCCTGGTTTCTGTCTTTCTCCAGTGCTCCCTGATAACCTCCAGATGGCCTCACCACAAAAAGCACACAGGCTAGTGGGTCAGTGGAGAGCATAAAATGGACAGCAAGCAGAGACCTAGAAAGACCTCAGTTCTGAGCCTGACTCACACTCCACACTCACCAGGCTCCCAGAGCAGAGGAAGGTTTCAGTTCCTGATCAAGACTCACAGGCGCAACAGGAGAGGTGCCAGGGTGCACAGGACAGTGATGCACAAGCAGCTCCCTCCCCTTTTGTGCACTGAGCACACGCTCCCCACCGCTCTGCAGGGAAGGGAGCACGGCAGACAGGGGAAGCCGAGACACAAGCGGGGGGACACTGGACAGAGAAGCGGGGAGGACACAGAGCAACCAGGCATACGCACACCTGTCTCAGCACTGTGGGAGGTTGAGGCAGGAGGGTAGCAAGTTCAAACCCAGCCTGGGCAACTCAGTGACTTAGACCCTGTCTCAAAATAAAAAATAAAAGGGCTGGGGATGTAGCTCAAAGGCCTTGGGTTCAATCCTCAGTACTTCCAAAAATAAGTCAGTCACAGGGAGCTGCTGCCTGGTGGCTCTGGGAAGATGGAGACATCTGCACCCCTCAAAGTCACTGGCTTGCGTGGGGGCACAGTCCACACACCTAGCTCGGTATCTCCCTCCCTCAGTACAACACAGAATTCCAAAAAACATCAGCTTTGACTCAGACTTGCAAACCAGGCAGGCAATGAAACTGCACAGGTCCGGGATACCAGGGCGCCTGCTCTGAGCACCTTGCCTGTGTCTGCTCAGGCCCAGGGTCCCACCGCGGCCCGGGGCATGTGGTGCAAGGCTCAGGCCATGCAGACCATTTGGAAGCCAGCTGACCCCTGGCTTGTCACCTGACACCAGCAGCGATCCAGAGGGCCTGGGCGCGGCCATCAGGAGGCCATGGAACAGGGCGCATAGGGAGGCCAGGAAGGTGCAAGGCCACAGCAGGAGCACCAGCGCTCAGCTTGATCCAGCTCACTTCCTGCAGGCGGAGGCCAGGAGGGAACGGCAGAGGCTGGCAGAAGACAGGTCACCTCCCCTCTGCGAGCGGAGGTGGAGGGCCAAGGTCAAGCTGGTGGCAATGGACAGTGAGCCTTCAGCCACAAAATGGGACTGCGGAAGCCACCACCCTCCACGGCCTGCTGTGGGGACAATGATTCAGTGTCTGGCCCACAGGAAAGGCACCAAGGAAGCTCAGAGTGAGCTGGGACCATGACAGATAACCCCACAGCCCCCAGGCAGGAGAGGACTCTGTGGTCCCAGTGCTGCCTGCAGCCGCCCACTCCATGGCTGAGGACCCACGAAGGGCCCCCCTTGCTCCAGCCTGCACGGCACAGTTGGGCGTGGGGAGCTGGGCTTCGCTGCCTGCACTGCATCTTGGTTGATTATCTGCCAAGATTTTCTTAAATTAACAAATTTTCACCCTTTCAATGCTGGAATGCCATGAGAACTCCCTCCCCTCTGAGCAAAACTCAGCATGGGTCTGTCCCACGCCTGGCTCCGGAAATGCTGGGGTCCCAGTGACAGGGCTGGCCGGTGGTCCCGGTCCCTCCCACTCTCCCGGACGGTCCTGCCATGGCTCCGAGGAGTCCGCATCCTCTCAATCTTCTTTTATATGTGTGGTGCTAGGGACTGACCCCAGGACCTTTGTACTGAGCTACATCCCTGGTCTTGTTTAAGTTTTGAGACAGCATCTCACTAAGTCACTAAGTTGCCCAGGTTGGGCTCAAACTTGCCATCCTCCTGCCTCAGCCTCCTATAGTCCTGAGATTACAGGCATGTGCCACCATTCTCAGCTTGTGTCCCGTTCTGAGCCAACCTGACTCCCACACACTGCACGTGGGATGACAGCAGACACTCCACTGAAGTCCTTCAGCATCTCGCCTGCTGCCTCCTCCGCCTCCTTGCAATACCCTGGCCACTCTGAACCAAATGGCTGTCAGCAACTGTTCAACCTCTGGGGCCACTGCACATGTTGCCAACATCCCAGAAGCCTCGGCTCTGCAGCCCCTGGCCAACTCCTACACATCCACCACGAATCCCACAGTCAGGTCAGAAAGCCCTGGGATGAGCTAGATGTGGTGGTCCATGCCTGTCATCCTAGCAGCAAAATGACAAATCTGAGCCCAGCCTGAGGAAGTTAGCGACTTAGATCCTGTCTCAAATGGTTAAAAAGATTAGAAAAGGCTGGTAAAGTGGCTCAGTATGAAGACTTCAATCTCTAGTACCACACACACCCACACACACAATGAATCAAACCCCTCCCAGGGCAGTTAGAAAGGCTGGGCAGAGTGGACACAGCACCAAGCAGAACAATCACTCAGGAAGCTACAAGGAGCAACCACGATACCAAGCCCTGGGGTTCCCCTGCACCCTGGCCCCACTGGGCTGAGGTCCCCAGGACTCCTGAGCCCCTGCCCAAGACAGGCCTGTGCCAGTTCCCTGAGCTCTGCCCCACAGCCCCGCCGGCCCCCAAGACCTCACCTGAGGTCCTTCAGCCGCCTGCAGTGCTTCAGCATGTCAGAGAGGGCAGGCATGTAGGCCACCTTCCCCATCATGCCCAGGTTGGCCAATGACAGGGACTGCAACTGCTGGCACTGCAGGCCGATGCTCACCAGCGCCGAGCCCGTTAGGATGCCGGGCAACTGGGCCAGTGTCAGATGCCGCAGGAAGGCCAGCTGGCCAATGGCAGCCACCTCGGAGTCCCCAACCTTCTGCGCACGGCTGCAGGGTGGAAGGGAGTTGCGGATGGCGGGCTCATTACGTGGCATGGCCGAGGAGAAATTGGAACCAATCAGCTCAAGGTGCTCCAGGAAAGGCAGGTTCCTCATCAGGGACCAGAATGCAGAGGAGGGCTGCTGGTCCGTGAAGGGGCTAGGACAGGTCTGCACGCCTATGCGCACCTTCTTGCCAAAGCCGCGAGGCACAGCGTGCATGGCAGGCTGGGCAGGCGCACGATCGGCTCGAGGGGCAGAGTCAGCCACAGAGCAGACAGGCAGGGACAGCGAGCGCAGGTGGCAGAGACGAGCCAGCAGGTGACACAGGTGCCTGCCCAGGCCCTCGGGGCTGTGGTGGTGTGCAGCTGAGAGGTTGAGGTGGCGAAGGTTGCAGCAGGAGGCTACCAGCGTTTCCAAGATGCTGCTGTCGATGTCGTCCTCAGCCTTGCGGAGCAGAGAGTCCGGCGAGAGGCAGTGCACGCAGCCACTGAGGTTCAGGCTGGCCAGGCTGCGCAGGTCCTTCCCATCGTTGATGACACGCTGGATCAGGTGGCCACCGGACAGTGTGCAACGGCTGAAGCTGAAGTAGAACGGGTTATTGAACTTCATGTGCTGGAGCAGGGATGAGCCGTTCAGCCAGGACTTGGGCAGCTGCAGGGCATCCAGGGCCACATTGCGAGCCATGGACTCCAGGAGGTTCTTGGTGGCACCACTCTCAGAGAAGCTGCCGGGGACGGAGATGAGGAAGGCGTGCAGGTTCTCGGGTGTGCGGTCACTGAGCACAGTCAGGTAGAGCCGCACCACCTCCTGGTTGACGTAGCCAGGAGCGAGCCGCGCGTAGAAGATGCGAAGGTTCTGGTAGTGGGGCACGTTGCTCTGGCCCACCATGAGCTGGCCCGACAGCATGTCACCTTCCCGCGAGTGGTCCAGGATCTCGAAGTACAGCAGCAGCTTCTGCAAGCTGGCACAGCAGGGCACCACACCATAGGAGGGCGTAAACAATGTCTGCTTGAGCTCCCGCACACGGCTCAGCGTGGCCCGGCACTCGCTGCTTAGCTGGCTGGCGTCAAAGCCAGGGCTCACATCAATAGCCAGCGAGCGCAGCTGCTGCAGGGCCGAGAGCACCTTGGAGAGGCGCAGGGAGGTCAGGTGGCAGCCGGACAGGTTCACCTTCACCAGGCTGCGGCAGCGGGCCACGCGCTCAATGGTAACACCTGACAGCCAGTAGCAGCCCGCCATGCTCAACTGCTGGATCTCCCGGCCGATCACCTTCACCAGCTGCTTCACCTTGTCTTCACTAGCCTGCAGGACAGGGACGGGCAGGAGAGGAAGGGAAGGGGATGAAGGTCCCAGGTCCCGCAGGGATGCTGGAAGTCAGGAGAGACCCCGGCTTGTGGCAATGCAAAGCGGCGCACCATGGGAGAAGGAAGTCTGCTAGACGCTAAGCAGCATGCGGAGCACTTGTGCTCCTGGGATTCTCCCAGGACACTGAAGATAGGGACGCCCAGATATCCGCCAGCCTCGAGTATCGCCGCCCAGACCACAAGAGCCAAAAAGCAAAAACTACCTAAACGTCCTTCAATGGAGGAGTGAGCGCACAGACCACACCATGGAATACTACCCGGCCACAGAAAGGAACTAGGTAATCGAGCAGGGCAATACATGCCTGTAATCCCAGCACTCTGGAAGGCTGAGTGGGGGGTCACTCCGGCCCAGCCTGGACAACTTAGTAAAACCCTATCTCAAAGTCTAAATAAATAAATAAATAAATAAAAGGCCAGGGTCTGCAGCCTGAGCCTGGCACCTATCCTAGAGCCCAGCAAGTCCTCTCCTCAGTCTCCACCTATCCCTGTGCCCAAAGCATGGATCCCTCTCAACACCACATCCTTAAGGTGGACTGCCACCCACCCCTTCTACCCGCCTGTCACTCGGTGCACCCTGGGGACCAACAGTGGCCCCTCCCAACATCTAAGTCCCCAGCACCTGCTCCCCCACGCACCTGATAGTCCTTCTGCAGCAGCACAGTGTGCACCAGGCTCTTGTCCAGGCTCAGGGCTGCGAGCTTCCGGCACACGTGCCGCACATTCACTACCAGGTCGGTGCTGGGCACGTGGCTCAGAATGTGCAACAGGATCTCATCGGAGAAGCCCAGCAGGTGGGCGCCACCTGCCACCTCTGCCTCGGCAGCTGGGGCTGCAGTGTCTGGGGCTGTGGTGTCAGCGTTGGTCATGTCCTGAAAATAAGGAGAACGCAGGTTTCCATGGGTCCCCGGGGACAGCTGACTCACCATATATAGGGAAGCAAGTGCTTTTGGCAATTTGGGGGGGTGCTGAGGATTAAACTCTGGACCTTTAAAATGTGCTACATCCTGGCCCTTTTCATTTTTTATTTTCTGGAGGGTATTGACTGTCTGCACCTCAGGACGGGTGACATAGGAGCTCATGTCAGCATGGTCCTTATAGGCAATGAAATGGAAAGGAGCCACCATGGAAAACAAAATGGCACCTGTTCATGAACAATGTCTTTTACTGTTGTTTTGTTTTTTGTTTTGTTTTATGTGGTACAGCGGTTGAACCCAGACCTTTACAATGAGCTCTACCTCCAGCCTCCACCTTTTCTTTTTATTTTCTTTTCTTTTGGGGGGGGGTACTGAGGATCAAACTCAGGACCTTGTGCTTCCAAAGCAGGCAGCAGCACCACTGAGCTAAATCCCCGGCCCACCCTTTGAGACAGGGTCTCACTAAGTAGCTAAATTGCCCAAACTGCGCTCAAACTTGCAATCTTCCTGCCTTGGCCTCCCAGAATGCTGTAATTACTAGCATGCTATCAGTGACGTCCTTCCTTTTCTTTTCTTTTCCTTCCTTTCCTCCTCCCTCTCTCTCTCTCTCTCTCTCTCTCTCTC